CGAGAAACTTGGTCGGAGCCTCGACTCGGAGGCATCTCGAAGGTAGTTTCCAACCAGAGTCTGTGTACCGCTCCAGCGTCCAAGCAGAGCAATCTCCTCAAGCGGCATTCCTTGACGGAAGGCTATTAGTGCCCTGAGCGCCGCATTGCATGCGGAGTACACCGAGCAGAGTCTCCGAGCAGAGTTGAGAGAGCTGTACGGAGAGCATCAGGAAAAGTTCGTATTGACAAGTCAGTGAATAATGCAGTCGCTGAGCTTGCTGTCATACGGTTCAGCGCAAGCCACCTACGGATACGGTGAACGGCACATATGGTAGAAGAGCACGTAGGTGATAAGCAGCTGGTGCCAACAGGGCAGGCCAACGGAACAACAGCTCCTTTGAAGAATTGGTCAGTCTTGCTCTTCGGGAGACGGATGAGGAGTAGATCGTGTGAAAACGTAAGGTCAACGTTCCTTAGGGACGTCAACTCACCGATCCGTAGTAAGGCCACCGTACCTAGAAGGAACATGGTTCCGTGATCATGAGATGAAGAGCGGAGAACAAGAGGCAGCTGCTCGATGGTCACCGTGTGAGCACGCAGTTGTTGTCCCTTGCCCAGGATTTTGGCAGACGAACGTAGGGCCAAAAATATGAAGAACTCAGCGTTGGAAGTTAGCGGTAGCTGACTGAGAAGGTTGGACTTTGCCCTGATGTAGCTCAGGTAACGGGAAACGGTAGAGTAAGCGTAGCCTGCTGTTGTCATAGAGAAAATGAAAGGATGCTGCAGAAAACTTTTCAAGTAGGGTGCAACACCCGTGATGAAAATGAGACGACCCGAGGTCCCTGCCAAAGAGGACGAGGTGGCCCTACCTGACCGTAGTAGCTCAAAGAGCTGGTCGCAAACTTTTGCAATGATGCTGGGGCGAACTTCAAGGTGTAAACGCCACTGCTGCAATTCAAGGGCGTATCCGATGTAACTCGCTGACTTCGAATTAAAAACACATTTGAGCCAGGAAACATCTACATCGAACACGGACCATAGTAACAGGCATACTGCGACGCATTCAGCGTATCGGCATTGAGCTATGGCCAAAAGCCCATCATCAACATATATCAGATTTAGACAAGGGAGCTCTCGGAGAATATAACGAAGAAGTGTACCCAGTAACCGAACCACACAGGCAGCAAACCGACACCAATGGTAAGGTGCCAGACGCACCCCGAAAGGGAGAGCCAGATGCTGATATCGGTGATTGTTAACCGTAACACATAGTCGATGACGCTCGTGTGGATGGACGAATAAATGACGAAATGCAGACTTTATATCATATTCGGAGAAAACGGGTAACAAATCATCTTCCGTGAGAGACGACTGGCAAGCACAAGCAGCAGGTGACTCACAGATGGACCGAAGACCACCGAGGAAGTCTGCTATGTCACCCCAGCTTCCTGGGAACTAGCCGAACTCAAGCCTGGAGGACTTTCCGATGTGCGTTGATAGATAGCAGTAGTAGACGATCCAAGATTGCTCATTAGAAAGCGTATGGTAAAGGCTACGAGATCAACGGCTTAATGACAGTAATGAATAAAAATGAGACGGCGAGAGGCTGACAGCAGCAGCCGTCTCGTCTCCAAACGATCGATGGCGAGCGAGCGCACGTACCGTGACGCTGCCTCATCATGTTTAGCGTAAACTCGCTAAATATCTTCACTTACGTGTGAGTTGAAGGGAGTCAAGGTCACTATGAGAGGGATGCAGAGCCATAGGGTGACAGACTCCCCCCCTTCCTTCAAGTCTCACGCCTTAAGGTAGCCCGCCTCTACAAGTTCCTTCCGGCTTTTTTCACGTAGACGACCTCTTGGAGTTCGGAATAGACGTAGTAAAACTTTATCTACGTCGCGGACGACCGCAAGGTTGCCGTCAGGACCAGCTTCGCCAAAAGAAAATTCTCCAGAATTAGGGTCTACCCATACCAGTTGACACATACCATGAGGAGTTTCCATCAACTCCATCACATGGACAGTTCCGTCGGATAAACCATCTTCCCTAACCAAACCAATCGCATCCTGGCCGTCCTGCAGGCGACATAGCACCATGTCCCCCTTCTTCACTGAGGCTCGTCTAACCGCTGATTGAAAAGCGATTGTCGCCCTGTTCCTGTCGACCGCAGCGCCACGCGGCTCCAAGTGGACTGCCGACACTGGAACTAGCATAGTTGACCCTAGAGGTTGTAGCATGACGACCTGTCCAGCTTGCGAATTGA